ACTGTACAGTGATGAGTCCAACCAGGAAGTTTTTTTATGAATTTTGTAGGCCTTGTTGTAGAGCCTAACTATGGTTTCTAAGATTATATAATATAATAAAATAATATCCTTTTAATGCCTAAATTACTATATATCTGAACACAAAATATATCCAGAGATATATTTTATACACAAATATAGTGTTGGAAAATTACTGCCATTTTAAGGGACGTACATAACTCAAATGATTCTTGATAAACAAGATTAATATTTTATTTTTCTGTTCAAATAATATGTTTCTCTCTTAAAGGGGTAATATCATGTAAAATCAACTTTTTTATTTTAATGTTGTACACTCATAAAAAACATGCCCAAAGCCTTGCTTTGACTCATTCATGCTTGTTTGAGAAATCCTGCAATGTTTTTAGGAAGCCATGCTGAGGAGCAAAACGACAGGTGGGGACCAGAAATGTCTTTTGGGACCAGAAACGCCCCTGGGACGTGTCTTTAAGCTGAACTTCCTCATGGCAGAGCGCATCTCCCCCACCCCAACCCACACACCCCGTCCATGACTCCTGCAGGCTCTCGGGTGAAACTGAAAGTGAAACTTAAACTGTCTGCTGAGCTCTCAACATTAGTTCTCACTCAGTGAAGCTCACCGACACCGACACCCCCAGAACTGAAATGGGCAAGATAGAAGCGGAAGGTTGTTCTTAAAGAGAGAGAGGCCAATTTTAAGGCGTTTAGAAGAGGAAATGATGAGAAGATAAGTTAATTTTCTATTAAAACATAAAAACAGCCTTTTAATAACAGCTAAAGGTGACATGGATACTTTATTATGGTATAGTATTTAAATATATGCCTGAGAAACACATAATATTGGCCCTTTAAAAAAGACAATGATGTAATCTGTTTGCATACAAACAGACTTACCCAGAAGRCCTCTGTGAACATGTTTTCCCATTGATCCATTTGGTTCCGTGTGGAACAGTCCCGCGCCGGCAGACGTATGGGCACCGGCTGCAGGTTTCAAGCTGCCGGTGGGACGTCGGTGCGGCGGTCTGCAGTCCACCGTTACAGAAACGTGTACAGTAATCAGGGTGAGGGAGAGGAGAGCCAGTCGCATGATCAGAGGGAACGAGGTGCAAACGCTCAAATGTTCAGGGTGGTGTGAGGGCAGCTTCTGGAGCAGGAGAAAGTCCAACTGGCCTATTTAAACAGAGGGTCAATAAACTGGCTAACTCATTTACCAAAAGGACTCTGGGAGCTTTCCTGACTGCTCTGTGTTTAAAAGGCTGCAGAGATCTAAACTCCTGAAATAAAGTTTTTATTTTTGGGAGCTAGATGATTGTTTGAGAAGGAGTTGTATTATTTTTAATGCATGTTTCTGCCATTATTTTCCCCCAAAAAGTGCTTTGACTTTGATCAGAATTTATATTTTTAGACAAAGGAAATCCTGATTTTAGGTTTTCTGTTGTGAACTGAAGGTTCGGTCGGTTGGAGCACGCTGAGTCGAACAAGGAGAATGATTTCTGACCCGTTAATCAATTAACTCAACGCACTTCCGCTGATCTCAGTCTTTCACAAGAGTTCACACAACCTGCGCTCCTTCAGCCCGCCTCACCTCGACCGCGCTGAGAACTGAAGACTTTATGTCAAACATTCAGATTCACTTAGGACGTTTTTTTAAAAAGTTATTTTAGAGTAAAACTCTGACAGAGTTTAGCATTTTAAAATAGTAGTTTTTTTTCTCCAGTAGCAACAACATTTTGGACAAATGATGTAATTTAAACAAAAAATCATTTGAAGTTAATCAAATACTAAGAGATGTTTTCAGGTATGACAAATATTATACTAGTATATTAACAAAATGACTACAAAATATAAGAGTAGCTATTTATTATTATTCTTATTTTTATTTTAAAAATATAATTTTAACTACATTGTCCCAAGAGAAACTTTGCTTTAGTCATGAACTCAAAGAAACTTTTCTAATTATATATTTAAGCCACCAAAATATCAGTATTTATT